AACCATACAACATCGGTGAATTGTCAAATATATTAATTAATATAATAGATGTATCAACATAAAAGAGAAACGAAGAAATTAAAATATCAATACAAATATAGAAAGCCTTTGTGTCCCCTCAAATAACAGCAAACACACAAACACACAACCGCCCCTAATTGTAAACCAAATATCGTGTACACGATACATTTCATGTCTTTGGGTAAATGTATTTTTTTCGTTTTATGACTCTGATGGGATACTTTGTCATACTCTCTCAAGTTCCTTTTTTTGACAGCATATGCCTACAATCCACTACACCCATGCGCAATTTCTCTAAACTTTCTACGAAATGTTATCCATTACTATTAACAGTTTTGAGCTAAAAGCCGCCAAATATACGTATGTGCATTCCATTCGAAATGTTCTAATTTTCCCCCAAAATACAAGGGGAACGCTAATCATTTATGATATCTTAGTTACAGTAAATCATCCATCAGGAACAACAGCTAATGATAATGGTTCACATTTAGAAATATACTAATTGTTTAACTTTATATCAATTAAGCTATATGCGATCGTTCCAAAATCTTACTAATTGTACATGTAAACACCACGCAATTAGGAGAGGTCTTTAAATGAGTCTATCATTCGCTGGTTATCCCTAACCATTGACAAATCCTTCTAATACACTTTTAATTAAATACTGTATGACCAATATATTGCTTTACTGCAAGAAATGCTTATCATTTATGGTATGACTGTTACAAAATATTCCCAGATCCTAACAGACAGGGTTGAATGGTAGATTCAAAGGCATAGACAGCTCTTGTTTGGATTTGTTTTGTCGGACTCTCCTAGCCAGGCTATACGATATCGTACATGGCGTGAATTGTTGCAATCAAGAGACGCTATCCAGAAAGCCTCCTGAGTCCTGAAAGATGTCAAATCAGAAACATTTCAAAAGATATCATGCAAGGGAAAACTATCATGAAGATTCACTGTTAATAATTATAGGCGCTACCATACATGTACAGGGCATATAAATAAACGAAACTCTTATTCTTGACTGTATTGAGGCAAAATATACTCTGGATATATATACTTACTCCCTAAAGTTTTAGATTTCTGAACCAAGAATGCTGAAAAAAATAGAAAGTGATACGCTCAAGTGACTTTTTCCTCTCGCCAGTCTATAATTCAAAACTGATTTTAAAAATAACTGTTAATCTATTTTAGTATATGAATTAAATGACGTGTCTAAGAATATTGCACTCGTTGATTTCGAGAATATCTGTCTTAAGTAAGATCTAAAAATGAAACAATGATGTGTATATTCTTTTCAAAATCAAATTTAAATACTGTTTGTCTGCTATTTGAATTACCCTGCAATTACAAACACATGTGAATAAACAAAATAAAGAGCTAACTCATAATATTGAAACAAATACCCTGGATCTGTTCAAATACTTTCCCCTATAATATGAATGTCTTTCTCTTTTTTTTAATGATCTTTTCATTTAAAATATTCTTATATTTATTTCCTCATTCCGAATTGCCATGTGTCCAGGTTTATTGTATTGTAAAATGATTCGTTAATTCACATTGAGGGATTCACAATAACTGACTCAAAGATTTCATGTCAACCATGGGGAAGAAACATTGTATTAATGGCTACAAACGATTCGGACTGTAATACTAAATCTATATCCCGCTATGCGCTTTGTTGGGTTTATTGCAATGACGACCTTCGTCATTGTCTTGTTTTCGTTCACATTCTGCCCCATTAATATTCTCCTTTTCCTCCTTTTCCTTTTCCTTATCCTTATCCTTATCGTCAGGAAATCGCATTCGTTTTGCACGTAATGTTTGTTATTCCTAGTTAGGTGCTTTTCTCATGTCCTTTTCCTTTCACATTTCATAGGCATAGTCTCTAACATCCCTTCAAGGTCACTACATTCTTCGATTTTCGAAATCACTCATGCATAACCGTCCAGGCGCCATTTTGTCCGTTTCTGGTCCATTTTAAGGCCTTTCTTTCTTCCTTCCTATCTCCACTATCCTAGATCCTACACATTTCTAACAAATTCCTCTAGATAGTCTAAGAGATGTTCTTTTATCTGCGACGTATAACCTGCCCTTCAAAATGCCATCTTCATACTCAAAATTCAAATCTGAAACCGACTCCGTCAACTATCTCTCAAATTCTTGAAAAATTGACACCTAAATAATCTAAAACTGCCATAACTTTCTCATATAAATTCCGTTTTGTATTTAAATCTCACAGTATCCTTATCTCATAATTGCACATAGCCATGCCAAATTTCACGCTCCAATGACTTTGCACAACATAAATAGCGCCCTCTAAAGTTCTGGGAATTGGCTTTCTCTCTGTGGCCGTATCTCCATAATGGCTTGGCAAACCCGTACCCTTTTTTGGATTTAGATACTTGAAGATATGCCCTTTCCAGCCATATACAAAATTATATACCCTATCACTGACCAAATTTGAGAAAATTGCCCTCCAAATTCGCCATTTTTAAGAAAATTCCAAAATAACTTCAACTTGCTCTAAAATTACGATCCTTTGACCTACGTCAATAAAACTTGGCACACACATGTATTTATATACGTGACAACTGTCCGCAAAGTTTGGTAAAATTTGATTATGTCAGCGCAAAGTTATCTAAAAAAATGATGTATTTACTATGCATTGCGTGATAGCGCGTTAAATGCGTGCAATACATTGCGCGAAGATAACAATGGTGTCAAACTGACCGCAATGAAGTGCCCTTTCGAATGATACCAAGTATAGTATATGTTCACACAGAAAATTGTGAATAAATCGCATTTGAACAAAGATCACTACACGAATTCCGCCGAGTTTCCGCCCGAATCTAACACGTATCGGCTATGACGTCATTTTTTCAGACTGCTTTTCGCCCCTTAAACGTCCTTTTTTTTCCTTGAAAATTTGCAGTGACATGCCGAGTTCCAATACGCAGGGCACCTCATGGCCGGATTTTTAAAATTGGTCAATGTGGCTATTTACGACGCCATTTTGTCCTATAAATCTATTTTACATCACGTGTTTCGATAGGATTATCATGGGAAAAAAGAGAGTGGTTTACAATAACATTCATGAAATTCTCTTTCTAATGATACCAAATACGGCTCATAAAGAGACATAAAGAGAGAGAGAAAAAACAATTTAACTCCGGTCATAATACAGATCCTGTACGTTTTCCGCTCATGCATTACACGCATTGTCTATGGGGCATATCGGGTTCACGCTTTTGACCCCCAGAACGATCTTTATTGCAATGACGAACATGCACCAAATCCCCTTGGTTTTTGCACGCAGTGCTTGCGAGCCCTTTCCACGTCCTTTCCCATATCCCAATTTCTTTCAAACTTCGTAGGCATAGTCACTACCATCCCATCAAGGTCACTGTTGAGGCCTTTCTTTCGCCCTACCTATCTCCAATATCACAGAAGCTACAGACTTCGTACAAATTGCTCTGGATAGGGCGAGAGAAGCTCTTTCGTTTGACACGTAGAAACATGGCGTCATTGCACGCACATCGTTGTGACACGATTGCATTTCTAGTTATATTTGGTTTTAGTTATGTAAGTTCTCGTGACGTGGTTGAAAAATAAACCTCAACGGTCATGCAAGCCTTCAAGAGGTTTGTTTATGATATTTTATAAGAATACTTTGGCTTTTTGCCTGTTTTGAAATAGAGCCTGGAAGGATTTGAAACGTAAAGCGTGATCATCAAATTTCTTCAATTTTCTTCCTTGTTTGTTAAAACCAATTTTAGATTCGTGCTTCTTTTTTTTTAAATAACTTTTTTCTTAGCAGTTACGTTCTCAAAGCGCACGTTGAAGTATGTGTATTTAATTGAAAGTTAACGTAATTAGAATATAATACCAATCTAAGTTTGTTTCCAATAATAAAACCAGAATATAAAAGTATCAAGCATATTAAATTAGAATCTCTTAATACTGAGTAACATCTTAAAATACTTCTGGAAACTAATGCAGTTTTTATCGGTTATCAACTTTTCTCCACGAATAGAATTTTCATTCCATTAATAATTTTGATATCAAATACACTAGCAATATTTTTTCCTAAATTGAATGAAATAATCCATGAATGCAGTTTGAATATGAAGCATACTTTATCCCGTTGTATTTAGTAGATGCAACACATAAAAGTATATCAGTTTGTATAGCATATTTATGAGTAAAGCAAAATCGTTTACTCGAAACATAACCATTTAAGCTATATATTTTTCATATTTAACAGCTGCTAGAAATTGAATTGTCTTTTCAAAAAGAAATCGTTGTTTAGAGGTATACTTCTATTTTGTAGATTGTAGTAAAATTGGTGTAATGGCGAAAAGTATAATTTGTTTTAATATTTGAAACACCCTAACAAGTATTAGGATTTAGGGCTCGAAAATTAATCCTGAACCTTGTCCCTAAATATGTTAAAAACAAAACCAACAAACGTTGAAAAAGAAGAAAACTAAAAAAAAAAAAAAAATGGACACCCTTTTGGTTATTTCCTTATTGGCAAGATCCCAGAAATATATATACATATCAATAATAAAGATGACATGCGACACACTGATATTTTGATATCGACTTTCTATTGACAGATGTAATTTAGTATGATTTTTTTTTCTTCATTTTTGCAATTATGTTATTTTACTCAAAGGCATCACAAACAAAGATCCTGGTTAAACATATTGATAATGATACAATAATATCGGTTGACGCATTGAAAGTGGGTACTTCCTGTTTTTCTCTGGTATAATTACTCTTTCCAGCGAAGTTTGTTTGTCTTTCTGTATTTCCTCATTGGCCGTTGAAACAACAATTACGTGTGCGCGCCATTTGTTTTCGCACGTTTTTCGCGCGTTATTATTGCTGCACTAGACGCATATATTAGAAGGATGACGGAAACTTTGTTGTCATTAATTAGTTCTTCTTGCTGTGAGTCTGAAGTGTAGATGACAGCGATAGAGTTGAAACTGGTTCTATGCTGTCTTCTTTGCCTCTTCTCCGTTTCATCAGCGATACGTCGTGAGTATTATCCCAGTCTCTGTTCGATTCTTGCTCTGCACATATTATTGAATAATAAAAGTATTATACGTAGTTTTTATTTGCAATGTATGCATGCACCTAGTATGTTTACAGATCTGAATAATCAATCATTGGCCATTCGCGCTAAAATCACATTTAAATAAATTACATTCCTTTGACATGCAATGGATAACCATTCCTGTTAAAAATAATTCATTGATCTTGAGGCTGTACTAGGGGGGGGGGGGGGGGGGGGGAATAAATGCACTTGTACAATAGGTGTATAGGTCTAGCCCAATTTTCCCAAACAACGTGTTTACAACTTACGATACGATTACAAAGGTGTCAATCTTCTTACGCCTTTTAAACATATATCGTAAGAAACAATGAACTTCAAAAAGGCACCGTTAATGAATGAAATCACCCTTTCTAACCAGACTTGCTGTTAAATTTGGAACATGGATAAAAGGAAAAACTTTCAGATCTGCGATACAAGAGAAAACTATTTTTTTTTTTACTGCTTTTTCAATTCCTGGATCGGTACATCAATAATGTGTCTGTTCTGCTTCCAATTGACAGAACATGAAGTGCGGTTTGTGGAAAAGGGATCGACCCACTATCCATATGCCGGCCGTGTAGACGTGTTTATTGATGGCGCATGGGGGACCATTTGTGCTTCTGACTGGGACATGAACGATGCTGAGGTGGTCTGCCGGGAGTTAGGCTATGGCTACCCCTACGGTATCGAGGTCGTTGGTGATCCACCTGCTGGAACCGGTACCAAGTGCTTGTCTAGGGTAAAGTGTTACGGCCATGAAGATCTGCTCTCAGAATGCGAAGTATACCCGACAACGCGAACAAGTAGTACAAATGACAAGGGCATAGTCTGCTATCCTCCCCCAAGTAAGTGACTTGGAAGTGAAAATAGATTCATAATATAATATACAATTAACTCTTTGAATGTTGTAATAGGCCTATTGATTTCCATACTAATAATAGAATATAAAAAATAAACCGTAAATCACAGTCATTGGTGAAACTCCACCAGTAGGCAACATTGCAGTCAAGTGTCTATCTCTGGTAAAGCGCTATGGTCACAAAAACTCACTAGCAGATTTTACTGTTACCAAAGCCGACAGAGTAGACACTCTTAGACACTCTTGACAGGAGAAAATCTGCTATCTTTCACCAAGTATTCTTTTCCTTATGAGATGTGGTAAACAGGAGCTAGGATGCATCTAATTTTTCAATATGTTTCAGGGAAGAGTATTCTGTCGGTTAAGACAAAATATGATACTTGGTTAGGGCAAGGCTTGAAATGTCCGATACAAATGGCTACAACATCAATCTAAGTTTCATTAATGTTCGGGAAAAGAAACCTTGAAACCATTTTATAGTAAATTGGGGAGTAAAGTTATTTGTTAAATTGTCAAATCTGATCCAATGTAGTATTAATTTTGTTTAAAAAAGAAAATTAATTACAGTAGTGATAGTAATACTTTAAAGACAATCTCGTCTCCATATTACTTTGGTACTGCCCCTTCACTTTTTTCTTTTATACATCTTTTATAAAAACCATGATATTTACAATTGTAGGCTTATCCTGAATATTTCTTATTTCTTTTAGTATTTACAGGTCTATTGGTTTTTACCGTATAAATTTCCTCATGATAATTCATAACACATACAACTTAACCAGTCATCTTACTATTAAGGAAAGGTACCTCATTTTGTCAAGTTCACCCTCTTTTAACTGCTCTACACATTGTTAACCGTTGACAAATTTGCAGGTACATCCGAAAACGATGATGATTCGGAGGGATCATTTGTATCATGGACATCAGATGGGAGTGATGTCGACCCAACTTCATCACCTTATGGTAAATAATTGCTTCAATATAATTGAAAGTTTACAGCTAGACCGACTACAGATCATTGACCATTCTTTGCTAGCAGATCTGCTACAGATTGAGATTAAACATACATGCCATGTTAACCCGAGCATGGTTCATCATCTAGATATATACTATACATACTAACTATGTTTACATTATGCTACCTTCATATATAGTCATTATTGATTTTCTTTTTCTTTTCGTGAAATTATTATAAGAACTTTTAAATCACCATCTCAAGTTTTATTACGAGTGCTAAAATTGTGTTTTCGGACTCGAAGCAAGACTGTCAGCTTTTAAGTGCCGGGTATGAACCTGTGTACTTGTAGAGAAGTAAGTCACATGTACAGTGAGTATCATTGTAAGTAAGTAGGTTGAGAATTACGACTTTTCCACGGAAGTATTACAAAACCAAACCTACATTAATGATAATGAGAGGCCAAAAATCATATTCCTTTAAATCAAAAAAAGGAAAACATGAATAGATCAATGATACTTACACTTACAGACCTCAGTATCCAACTCTGTCTTCGAGCCAATGTTTGAATCGCCATGCCAATTGAAGAAACTTTATTTCTTTCCTTTTTACAGTTGGTCCGGGTTTGCGGCTTAGAAACGGACCTGATCAGTATTCAGGATGGGTAGAGGTCAAGCTTGAAGATGGCAATTGGAGTCCACTGTATCTTTATTATTATAATGTTTTGTTGTCTCGGTATCAGTATATCTCGAACATCTGTCGTCAGCTTGGACTCGGGGAGCTCAACTTCTGGGATAGTTTTGAATATAGCAGCACGTACAGTATGACAAAGGTGACGAGATGTCCTAACGGAGTTGCGCACCACCGAAGCTGCATATTTCATTCAAAGGATTATTACATTGGGGGGGGGGGGGGTAATTATCATACTAACTACGATAAAGATGAAGAAAAAAAACTTCCATATGGGTTGCTTATGTGCCCGGGTGTTTGTGCACAGTGTATTTCTAAGGTGGCTGCTTGGTTGTAACATAATGATTTTTGGACGTCAATATAGGCTCATCTACACATCCCAAGCGGATTTTTGCATTTCCATTTCCATTACTAGGAAATACCCATAATTAGCTATTGTCTTGACCATTAGCGTCAGCGCCATCTACTATGAGACCGTCGCACAGTGGAACAGAATCGCCTCAAAGTGTGCCAAAATTCAAAATTGGCGAATGTGAATTTTTGTATTTTTTCATTCGCTTGGGGGAAGAAAACATTCTAAAGAATATTTTCCACACATATTTTAATATTTAGCGAGTTTTAACAGTGTCATATACCCCCTGCGACAATGGGAAAATCTATATGTTGCTCCAAAAATGATAAAAGAGGCAACTTTACAATAGGTGTTGAGAATGTATGAAGGGAAAAGCAATCAACTTGATACTGCGTGCACTTCTTGCCTATTGGTAACCCAATAAGAAAATACAATGACCAAATTTATGGAAGCTTTATTTTGGGAAAAATGAGCATTAAATTTCACACAAAAAGGAAAAAAATTGCAATTTTTATATAAAAAGTAGCATGTTTATTACAATTCCGGCCGGTTCCCGCAGTGATGTTAATCTCAAAATGTCCGCCGAAACCTAAGCTTTCCATTTATGGTATTTCTTTTTGCCAGAATTTGCTACACTGCATGTGCAGGCGCTTTTCCAACTCACGTCCATCGATTATTATTAGGCATAATCGGTACACATTTGTACTGTTTACGTATACGCACAGCCGATTCAACGCTCGTCCGCGTAACCATGGCAACGGTTGCGTGAGTGTAGAGCGTATAGCGTAGTGTATATTGCTTTCACACGTTGATGCAATTCGCAATCACATATGGTATCATTCTAGGAGAACTTGGATTGAAGTAAACGATGGCGGTATTAAGAAGACAGCTTTTTCATGCTGTGCATTCAGCTGGCTTCATTTCAGACATCAAACTGGCATCCGAAACATCCATTGATGCATTATGTGCATATCATAATGTGGGTAACAAGTCAAACATCCCACAAAAACTTCTCAAGAGTTTGTCAAAGACTATTGGACGCTTTCTGTATCGTATGCGAGAGAAATCGAACAAGTGTGGTCGCTATATACCAGGAATATTTCACGAAATAAAACAAGGAATGGCTTAATCAGACACTGACATTCAATACTGAAGTAGAAACATTTCTTGCACAACAAAGCAGCACAGATACCGGGACAGAAACAGAGCCAACTTCAGACTTGCCAGGCACGTCACGTCAAGGGTATTTCATATTTTTAAATCATAATCATTTATTTGATTATATTCCAAATCCCTTTGAACATCTTCTGAAATCAATCGATGTCTCATTCTTTAAATTCATATGGAAAGGGAAACCCGATACAATAAACAGAAAACAAGTAGTTAGTAAATACGAAAATAGTGGACTAAAAATAGTTGATGCCGGACACTTTTATAGAGAGAAATTTAAAAATGCTCCAATTGTTCGTCTTAGGTCCAGAAACCCCTGAAAAGTTCCCCTAGTCAGTGTCATATGAATCTGTCTATGTGTTACAATGCATTTTGGCCTTTTCCAATCAGAAAACTGTATTTTAATGACGTGAGAGAAATTTGAAAATGCTCCAATAGTGTTTCTTAGGTCCAGAAACCCCTTATAAGTTCCACTAATCAGTGTAATATGAATCTGTCTATGCGTTACAATGCATATTTGCCTTGTCCAATCAGAAAACAGTATTTCAATGACGCCATAGAAACTTGAAAATGCTCCAATACACCAGTTTTTACAGTTGTATCAGTGCGCATGCGCAGACATGAGCGCCATTATAAATGGTGAGTAAACAAAGCCAATGACCTAGAGGTCATTTGGTTTGTGCGTAAATTAAGATTGCGCTCATGCAAATTATGATGTGAGCGCACAGCGCAGCGCGCAGGCAGTGATGTTATCATAATTTGCATGGGCAAAGTCGAAGTATACACATTAAATCTACGGAATTATAGTATTTGATCCATGCATATACTCATAAACTCGGAGAAGTCAAACATTTATTTAAACTTCACATCATAAGTTTATTACACGATACTGAAGTCTAGTATTGAATGACCGTATTCTATTTACAGTTACTTATTATTTTGTAAACGACAATGATATGATGTGTCCTATTTGAGTTACATTAAATGGAATACTTATATAATATTGACTGGCCTTGAGGGGTATATCAGAAATATTGACCAAGCTCAGATCATATTGCCCCGAGTCGAAAGACGAGGGCAATATGGTCTTAGCGCGGTCAATATTTCTGATATCCCCCGAAAGTAAAGCCAGTCAATATTTTTATTGTTATCCAAATCAGACATCTAGAGCAAATACAGATATCCACCATGACAATCTCAAGAACTAAACAAACTTTGTCAAACCAACACTGTGCATCCAGTGCTTGACAAATTTTTCGATACACTACAAACAGTGTGTATTTGGTGTGATTATTACGTCACAATGGAGTGCGCGCAAAGTGCGCAGGTTCTCGTACGCATAATAGATGCGCAATGAAAATGCGAGACCGTGGAAAATACCAAGGTATATTTTCATTCGTCTCTACACGCAAAGTCAATACGCGCAGGGAGACCAAGGAAAATACAAAGAATATACCCCTCCGTTCCCACTGCCAGTGAAAACTAGGGCAATACGGTTTTGTAAATGACCAGCTCAGATGTCTGATACGGGTAATAATAACCTATATTTGTATATTTGCCACATTGTATGGTGTATAACTACTATCTAGAATTATTCTACATGCTCTTTTTTAATTGATTCAAGTGCATAGATGTGCTGTTTTGTAATAGCCCCATTGAACACAGGTGCACGGTATTCTACAATCGATCTGATGTATCCTCTTAACATGATGATAAGATCTACAATAGGTAGGTTGAATGATTTCAGTCTCCAGAGTATGTATAATTTGTTGTTACTTCTCTTCAAAAGATCATTTACATGTGTATAACCATTTTAGGT